GACCAAAAAATAGGTTCCTGGTGGTGGGGTACAAGGCTGGCCTTACCTTCCAATAAAGTGAGGCAGCTGCCTCAGGAAACAGATTTGGGGCATCATGAAAAAGAAGCTAACTGTTAGCTATTAACTTCGTTATTGTATTTTTACAGCCAGGAAAGGGAGAGGTGCCTGTAGGATTTTCCTCCTGAAGTGCTAACAACTTTATGAAGTAAGCACCTTCACTTGGATAAGCTGGGGTTGTGTAGAGACAATCCGCCATTCTACCTTAGATAGTAAAATCAGCCAGAACTAAGGCATTCCTGAACAAACTGGCATTTGTCACTCCACTTCTGGGTTTTCTTTCAGATCTGCCTCAGTTTTTTTATTAACCAAGGATGTCTGTCCACATCTCCTTTCTTTTCTAATATATCCTTCAACTGTTCTTCTCCACTAGGTTGTGATGTTTATTTGGAATGCTATTCTCACACTTCATTCTTCTCAGCTAAAGAAAGATGGAGCTTGAACATGCAACTTCCACCCTAGCTCAATCTCAAAAGCTCCTTAACTTCATTGTGACAAGTTTTTTTAAAAAAATACAGTGCCCCTCATTGCTCTAGCTCAGGGGTGTCCACCCTTTCACCTTCCCTGGGCCACATTAGAAGATGAAAATTTGGTTTGGGCTGCACATACATTTGGTTTGGGCCGCATGGGGGGGCAGCCCTAGCCGTCCTCCGCAGCCCCGCTCCAAGCGCGCTTACCGGCAGCTGCGATCTCAGACAGCAGAGGCTGCCAGCTTCGACTCCAGCAGCTTTATGGGGCTGGGAGGGGGTCCACCTATTGACGGGGAAGGCGCAATGCAGTCATGCAGCCCTCCCCTCCCCTCCCCTTCCTTCCCCCTCTACTGTTGTGACATGCAGAGGGCCGCATTACAAGCTGACCTTGGGCTGCGGGTTGGACAAGCCTGCTCTAGCTCCTTCCACTCACATAGGGCAAAAATAGATCTTCTAGGTTTTCTTCCATACAACGATGTGTGCTTTGAAAAAGGACAGGAAAACAAGTTCCCTGTTATGGACTCATTCTCCGATTAGTGACTGAGGCCCCTTTCCATAACATTTTTCCTTGCATGGCATGCAAGGAAAGCTTATATCTTTCTCCTCACTCAGTAAGGCTCAATGACTCAAGTATCTTTCCTCAGGAGAATGACCACAGGAGCTGTCTCACCCCAAATCAGATTACTGTCTTATACTGAGTGCCAGTATAATGGCTCTTCAAGGTTTAAAACAGAAGCCTTTTCAGTTCTACTTGAAGGTGCCAGGGACTGGACCTGGGCCTTTTTCCCCCCCAAGCAAACATTTGAAAGATCACATGAACCCAGCATTCTTCTCAGCAGCATTTTGCCTATTTGTCTTCCAGGCTTTCTCCAAAGAGCATATTTGCCCAACATTCAGCAACCACCGAATGGTCAAATTAGGATGCTTTTTGAACATCACCAGTGCTAGTAATGCTTGAGGGATCCCAAATATAAAGTTCATCCCATTCAGGCTTTTTTTATTCTGAGTTTCTTACATATGGGGAGGAATCGTTATCATGAAAGGGAAGACACTGTAACAACACTAAAGCATTGTGTTAAGAGCAATAATGTACTGTAATGTCAAAGACTGGAGCCTTTGACATTACATTGCAATAGGAAATTATCAGCTCAGTGGGATAACCCACTTTTGGTGCACAAGGCCTGAAACCCTGGAGAACTGATAGTCAGCTCAGTGGGATAACCCACTTTTGGTGAAACCCTGGAGAACTGATACTAATCAGTGCTAAAAATGCTAGTTAGACCAAGACAACAGCTTATGTACTTCAGTGTCCAATGTATGTAATTTTCACATTCACTTCAGTGTAGTCATGCTAGCAATACAGTATGGATACTAAGGATGCAAATCAATGTACACTTAATAATAATAATTACACACAATCAACTGTGACATGGTGACAATTTTCAGGGTTTTATCAAAACAGAGTACTCTGAAGTGGTTTACCATTCCCTTTGAATGGGGGGTGGGGGCCTCCAGAACTGTACAGCTTGGCCAAAGTCATATAGGCTGGCTTTAATCCCAAGATACATAGTCGAGATTGAACTCACAAATTTTGGGAAGTCATATAGGCTGGCTTTAATCCCAAGAGACATAGTGGAGATTGAACTCACAAATTTTGGGTAACTAGATACCTAACTCACTGAGCTAACTACCAAGCCTATCTGAGAATAAATGCTTATTTCTGTCTAGCCATGGCTTCTATTGCAGTGAAAGTGAAATTAACATCTCCTTCCACCTGGTTTGAATCTGCAAATGCGCAAATTTAAGCCAGAATGAAAATCTGCATCTAAAACAAACCCTAAAAAAAGTAAAAGTCAAGCTGTTCTCAGGCTGAATGATATTCTTTTGCCAACTTCACTAAGGTTTCCTTTAGTCAGTCCTGAAGTTTCACAGAAGCAATGTGGAACATTTATCTTTAACCCTGACTTTAAACATGAACTAATGGTGGATACCCAGTGTGGCATACAGTGGTGCCTTGACTTATGAACGCCTTGACCTGCAAACAATTTGACTTATGAACAGCTCCAGCTGCAAAATTTTGCTTTGACCTGCAGCCGGAGCTTTCACTAATGGACAGAAACAGGCAGGGAAAAGGGGCAGGAAATTCAAAAAAACCTAACCGTTGGTGGCGAAGAGGCTGCTTCTTCCATTACCGCCATGGGAGACCTCCCAGGGTCCCCGCCTCCACAATCGCTGCCTTCGGAGGCCTCCCAGGGCTTCCCCACCACCATGGGAGACCTCCAGGGGGTCCCCTGTGCTGATTGCTGCCTTCAGGCTTTCCCAGGGGGTAGACCGGACCTACCAGGGGAAGCCCTCCTCTGGTAGGCCCGGTCTACCCCCCCTCCCGGGAAAGCCTGAAGGCAGTGATTGACGGTGGACCACTGAGAGGCCTCCAGCAGCGGCGGGGAAGCCCCAGGAGGCTCTGAAGGTGGCAATGGCGGTGGCAAAGGAACCCCCGGAGGTCTCCCATGGCGGCGGGGAAGCCATGGCCCGGCGGCTTCAGCAGAAGGTGCAGCTTTTTGCTTTTTTAAAACTTGTTTTAAATCTTTTGCAGACTGGGATTGGTCTGGTGGGGTTATGTTTCTATTTATTTTGGGATTTGTTTTGTCAGCAGAGGTAAGGTGCTGCTTTTTGCTTTTTTAAAACTTGTTTTAAATCTTTTGCAGACTGGGATTGGTCTGGTGGGGTTATGTTTCTATTTATTTTGGGATTTGTTTTGTGTTTTGCAGCCCCAGGGGCTTGCAGTGTTTTATTTTGTTTTTTTGGTTTTTTTTTTCTTCAACCGGAATGGATTAATTGGTCTTCAATGCATTCCTATGGGAAATGGTGCTTTGACTTACGAACATTTTGACTTACAGCCACCATTCCAATATGGATTAAATTTGTAGGTCAAGGCACCTATAAGTCGATTCTAACTTAATTTCATAGCAACAAGAACAGTACAGCAAAGTTCTATATAGCTCCAACGCATACATATAACTACTCCTTCTAAGCGTACTGAGGCCAGCAATCAACAAAATTTAATACTAATTTCTTGTGAATGCTCTTCCCAAGTGATGGCTGCTGTACTGTAGATTCTATGAAATAACTTCCTTCTTAACTAGTTCTCATCCCACGTCCTATCAATTTACAACAGTTTGGAAACTATGATGATTTAGAGTCTCCTCAAATATATATTCTGAGACTTAAAAAATCTCACTTTCTCACGCTACTTTCACTTCATCACTCACTTATTTATTTTCATTACATTTGAGAAGACAACTTAAACAGCAACAAAACCAAGAAAGTTCCAAGAACCGTACTTAAGGACAAGTGGGAAATTTTTAGAAGCTCTGTAATACAAGCTCATCTCTCTTTAGTCAGTAACTTAGACAGCAAAACCATCAGCCAGGTAGGCTAAACAATGACAGCTTTGTCCAAATAAAAAACATTTGAGAGAACACAAGGGAGGCCCACAAGCAAAACAACCGTGCTAAGAAGCAAAGCAAGCAGCGCTTTTCCAGTCTCTCCCAAATGCAAACCATGTTTTGAGTAATCCCATGCACTTTTTCACGCCCCTCCTCTATGAGCCCACAAGCAAAACACAGCCTCCATTCTGCTCTGGAATGCACTCTCCGAAACCTAATCTAACTGTAGAGCTGAGTCCAAATCCCCCAAAGGCTTCAACCCAATGGCAGACTCCTCCCACAGAGCCTTGGAGTCGCTGTTGTATTCTATTCTGCTTCTCTTTTTCTAACCCAGCCCAGTCTAAACATTTCACTTCTGATTAATATCTTGATGACAAGCCAATAGTTCTTGGCTTTGAAACAAAACCAGCCCATTTTGCTCAAATGTATCACCTTGCAATTTTAATTCTTCCAAGCATTATCTCTTTTCTGTATTCCCTCCATGCCCAGTGGTGCCCTGAAGAAGGAAAACCTTCCTATTTCTAGTTGAGACAGGTTACAAGGCAGCTGTGTCCAATGAGTAATAACAGTATTTAGCTTGTGGGCTTACACTGACAGAACTCTTACCAGTTAATCTATGTCAGTACAGTATTTCAATTTGATTACACTATTTGCTCCCCTTTTGTGGACATACTGATGTGAAATCAGATAATCTGTAAATTATATTCTTCGTTTCAGACAGAGATATACTACAGACTGAGTCTGGTGATCAAACTGGAGTTTAGATATTTTGTTGGAGCACAATGCCCAGATATCCATGCAGGTTGGGAGACACTGGGAATTGTAGTCCCAAAATGTCATTTTTGGGTTTTCTTGGTTAAACTAATAATCTTCTCTGCAGATAATATGCTGTGACATGAATGTTAGTGAAGTATAACACCAAGCTTCAAATAACTGCCATTTTGTGTATATGAGAATAAATGGTTCCTTGCAGATCTGATGGGAAGTGGTAAGTAGAACTCTGAGGAAAAGAAGCAAAGCTACTCACTGGCTAATGTCACCATGGCTGGTACGCTGGCAATAACACCTTCAGATACACGGGCTATGCACTGGTATCGTCCCACGGTGTGGTTGTTCAATGCTGTGATGATGAGCAGTCTCTGATCAATATGGATCCCCAGAGCATCATCTGATGGAGGCAGCTCCATTCCATTCAGTCTCCAGGTAACATTCACTCTCAGAGGCTCAACTACACATCTCAGAGTCACCAAGCCACCATGCTTCTGGATAATAGAAGCAGGCTGAACAGTGACTTGAAGAGAATCACCTGCACAGGACAGATTTTTTTTTAAAAAAAGTCTTCATTAACACTTGTTTGATAAGAGGAACAATTCACTTCTACTAAAAGTATTGTTCAATTCACCTACTATTTCTATCTACCTAAATTTTAAATTCTAACTACCTTCTGTTTTATAGGCCTCTCACACATGACAGTGTGGAGCAAAATCCCATAAAAGTAGAACTAAAGTATGTGGATAACACAACCCCTGCAGGTCTAAGTCTAAAACCATTTGATAGTGTTGGCAAATAAAAAATATTTAATATTTTTCTTAGAGATTTATACTACCCTCCATAAAAAGAAGGGCACCACACTACAGTCATGTGGCTTTACAGGTAAATTATGTTCATCATCTTCTACATTGTCTTGTCCCCATCTGCCATCTTTATACATGGCAGTCACTCCCATTTGAAGAGAGAGGAAGAAAGGGTTCATGCATATGCAGATGTTTCCATACAGTGAGAAAGAAGCTTTATGGTAGCTTCTTGGAGTATGCAGTAATTATGAACACATGAAAATGTAAGAAGTGCCTGGCTAGATCAAAGCAGTGGTGCATTCTGTTCCAACACTCATTAGGAGGTCATAATGTAGGATATTAGACACATAGAATCACAGTAGACTAGGGATGGAAGGGAGCAAATGATCTGCTATTTTGTCTATTTGGCATTTGTGTTACTTCTGAATCTGGCTGCTCACTCTGGGCCAGCTGCTACTTATACTAGACAAGCAACAAATGTCTTAATTAATTCAATAATGACTTGGCTCACAAGTCATCAAACCACCACTGGGGTAAGTAGCCACACAACTAGAGGGTACTGAAAATACAGTGGTGCATCGACTTACGCACATCCCTACTTACAAAAATTTTGACTTACGAAAAACACCAGCTGCAAAATTTTGCTTCGACTTGTGGCTGGAGCTTCAGCTTATCAACAGAAAAGGACAGGGGAAAAGGGCGGGAAATTCAAACCGCTGCGCCGGGTGCTGGTGCTTTGGAAGCCTGGGAAGCCAGTACCCAGCACGGTGGTTGGGGCAGCCTTCCAGGCAGCCACCAGTCCCTGGAGCGCAGTGGCTTCTTTTCCCAGCCCGGACGCCTCACTCATCCGCGGGCAAAAGGGGGAAACTGCCTCTTATGTCCGCAAAAGCTAGAGGGGGCAATCTTCTTCCTCCTCTCCTCCTCCTCCTCTCGCCGCCCCCTATGTGGGCTTTTCTATACCAGCCAGCCGGTGCCATCTCAATTTAAGAGCGTAGGGAGAAGCGCAGAACCGAGATTCCGCCAAGTAGCCCACAGTTTCAGAGAGGCAACAGCTCTCTCTCTCTCTCTCTCAATCCTCCCCCCTCCGCTTTTTCTATGTTGCATCTGCTCCAGAAATCCAGATATCAGCTGTTAGGGACTGACCATCAGTGCTTCTGTTTGGAAGCACAGGAAGCCAGCACCTAGCGCAGCGGTCAGGGCAGCTTTCATCTTCCCACGCTTCAAAGCCATCCCGACCGTCATGCCGGGTGCCGGTGCTTTAGAAGCATGGGAAGCCAGCACCTGGAGTGGTGGTTGGGGCAGCTTTGGAAGCCCGGGAAGCCTCCGCCAAGGCACCTGGAGCCCTGGTCCTGCAGCGGTGGTGGAGGTCAGGCCCTGCAGCAGTGGCTGGAGCCCTGGCCCGGTAGTGGCGGTTGGAATCCGGGAGGCCTCCTGGCAGCAGCGGTCGCGGCGGTGGAGGTAAAGTGCTGCTTTTTGCTTTTTTAAAACTGTTTTTGTGGCTTTTGCAGGTGAGATTGGGCTGGTGGGGTTATGTTTACCTTTATTTTTGTTTTTTGTTTTTTTTGCAGGCCCAGGGGCTTGTACTGTTTTATTTTGGGGGGGGGTATTTTTTTTTCCTTCGGCCAGAACGGATTAAGCAGTTTTCAATGCATTCCTATGCAAAATGGTGCTTCGAGTCACAAAAATTTTGAGTTACGGCTACCATTCCAATACGGATTAATTTTGTAAGTTGAGGCACCACTGTACTGCTACAGAAGATGATGACTTGGAAGGCAATGCCTCATGCTAGTGTTCGGACTAATTCATATGCCTCCCCTGTCAGCTAAACTTTTTATTTTCTTAATGTTTGAAAGATTTTAATTTAGCTGAAATATTGTAAATGTTAGACTCTTTTCATACTTCTGCTTTATATATGATTGCTCTTGTTTGTTGTTCTTCATGAATTTACAGACTTAGCTGTTTCTGTTTTCTTCTTCAAAAATTTGTATAGTGGTTAATATGGTATTATACACCACTATAATTTTCATTCTTTTATTTACTGTTAGTCCTTTTGAGCTCATTTGTGCTATGCAACAATATACAGTGGTGCCTCGCACAACGGGCGCCTCGTAGAGCGATCGCAAAACGGTGCCTCAATAGGGAAAAAAATCGCAGAGCGAAGGTCGGTAAGCGGTTCGCTTACCAACCTTCGCTTTGTGACCCGCCGATCAGCTGTTCGGAAGCTACAAAATGGCTGCCAGAAGCCACAAAATGGCCGTGCATAGCGTTTTTAATGAAGACTCAGAACAAAACCAAATTAAGTTTGCACATGTTTCACAAGGTGCACTATGGAATCCAAGCATTTAAAACAGGTTTCAAACATTTTAAGACACTTTTAAATGAGCAAAAAGGGACATTGTTAAGTGAAATTCCCCCATAGAGAACATCGTTAAACGATGGGGGAAATTCCTCAAAAAAAACCATTGCTGTGTGAAACTGTTAGTCCTTTTGAGCTCATTTGTGCAAGGCACCACTGTATACATATAATCCTATTACTGTACATAAAATCCTCTCAAGAAATATAAACAACATCCAGATCCTCAAAACAACAGTTTCAAGGCAGAATGGAAGAGGCTATACACACTCACCTAGATTTGCAGAGCAGCAAGCAGATGCCAAGAGCAAATAAGTGAGAGCAGTCATTGGTCTCTTTTCCTCTGATATCATGGTCTTCCCATGCAGAGAAGTCTGGAGCAAAAGATACTGAATGGAGTTCCCATAAGCTGCCACAGAGTAGTTTAAAGATGGAGATTCAACTTTGTGGTGCACCCTATATCGCAGGGGAAGAGAAAAGAAAAACAAACTATAGATTTGTCAAGAGACAAAACTAAGCCATATCAGCACTCTTAGAATGATTTCTCCATCTTCAAGAATGGAAGCAGAAGCTACAAGGCAAATCTCGCTGCCTTAAGTGTCTCTTAATATTAATTGCAGTTGGTGGGTAGATTGGCAGGAAAATCTGGCTGGCTAGCACACCAAACAGAGTACTCTGCACTGAAACATTTTATTGCAGTTTTCACACACTGAATTATATAAGCAAATAAGGAAGCTAGAAATCCCCTATGATTTTATGGGATGAAATCTTGGATAGGTAATTAGTATTCAAATTTTGATGACCTCACATGATCAGGAAAGCAACTAACAAAATATAAACAAAGATAGTGGTTCAGAGCTTATTGTCTCCTCCGTTTACAAAGGAAACAACCCAGTAAACAAATGTGCTACTGAATATATTTCCAGAACATAAAAAAAAGATAGAGAGACTGAACAGTCCAATCAAATGCACCTCAATTACTTTGTTTGCCAAGTTCTGTTACTTGGTTACAGTTATGAAATATATTTTGATTAAAACAGAAAGACAAATGAACAGATTTCCTTGGCTCTTGGGCTCTTTTCATACAAACAGATTATATTCTGCCAAAGAAAAAGAAAAATAGTAAAAGTGGGGTTTCAAGAGAAAATTACTTTGAAATTAATCAGATAACAGAAAAGAGTGATATAAGAATACACCTGATTTTAAGACTTTAAGTTCTTAATTTAGTATTTTAAGTTCACATACTGTGTTGTTGTTATGTGCCATCAAGTGAGTTTCTAAGTCAGGCCAACCCTAGTACAGCTTTTATGTGAGATATTCAAGGAGTGGTTCACTATTGTTAAACCCCAAGTGGGGTTCCCACAGTAAAGCAGGAATTTTAAACCCAAGTCTTCTGAGTCCTAGCCAGACACTCTTTCCACTACACCACATCATCAGGTCTCACACTGCAACAAACATTATTTTTGTAACAACAAACCAATATATAATCAGTAGACTAGACATCTAGAGCAGCATAAAAGAACACAAGTCAAACTGAAATCAATGGGACAAGTTAGTTAACTGATCAACAAATTAAAGTGCCATCCTGGGCATGCTTATGCAATTAGGTATTAATGTATACATTCAATGAGGATTATCTCCAGAGATGGAACACATGGCTGCAGAACCAGCGTCAGGAGTTTGATTCCCCATTGGGCTTTGTAGGAGAAGAGTCAGCCTGTGTGGTCTTGAGCAAACTACAAGGTCTGAGAGGAAGGGAATGGTAAAAGACTTCTCAGTGCTCTATACCTAGAAACCCACATTCAATTGATGGTATAAAGTTACTACTATTAAGAGTCCATGGGACTATAATCTTAACTATGACCGAACCTTTTTTTTCCAAGGCCACATCCAATATGAATATAAAGGTAAAGGTTCCCCTTGACAATTTTTGTCCAGTCGTGTCCGACTCTAGGGGGCGGCGCTCATCCCGCTCTTCAAGCCACAGAGCCAGCATTTTGTCCGAAGACAATCTTTCCGTGGTCACATGGCCAGTGTGATTTAGATACGGAACGCTGTTTACCTTCCCACCGAGGTGGTCCCTATTTATCTACTTGGATTTGCATGCTTTCGAACCGCTAGGTTGGCGGGAGCTGGGACAAGCGACGGGTGCTCATTCCGTTGTGTGGATTCGATCTTACGACCGCCGGATCTTCTGACCCTGCAGCACAGGCTTCTGCGGTTTAGCCCACAGCGCCACCACGTCCCTCAATATGAATATAAACTGACCTTATTACAGATATGCATCTTCAACAAAAGATTTAGGACTTTAGAAAGTATTACTCCATATTTTTATAACTATTTTAAGTGCATTTCAAGATCTTAGAGCACATCTCAGGATGATGCTGGGATTAATCTCTGCAAAGTAAGATTATATAATAGAATGTCTGTGGAAGGACATCTTGCTATAGTTTAACTGCTTTATATTTGAGAAAAAATATGCAAGCAAATATGCAGAAAACCAAAAGGTTTTATGATCGCTTAAAAACTGAGCTATTTATCCATATGACTTTGTGAACAAAAAAGTTACCATTTAACTCTGAAATGCCAGTTTCACCATTATAACAAAGAGGCAGCTAACACCTCAGACTTCAACATTTCCCGAAATTAGATATTTTTCCGGAAAAGCGGCTATAGATACTATTCTGCCGATTTTTAGTGTGTTTTTTCCAACTTCATCATTGTGTTTATTTCTGCTTCATGGCAGCACCCACTGAATGCATATTCCCAGAAAAGTGAGGGAAATTATTATTTGCTTATAGTTTTTGGAGCCACATTCATAAACAGGATGAGACAGGACTCTTAAGATTGTACTATCCAACTAACATCAGTGTAATATTTCATTTCATGTGAATTTACACTTTCACTTCGAAAAGATATTCAAAGAGTGCCCAAATGTGGTATAGGAATAGACAGACTAAGCGTGTTTAAGTGCCATTGACTGTAATGGAAGAGCTTTAAGCATATGTTTAACTGTTCTCCAAATCAATGGGCCCTCACATGGTTAGCTTTGCTTGGATTGACCAGTGACAGTCTGTGCTTCTGTCTTTCTGCAAAAGGTCAGCAACTCTACTGGGGAAACATTAAAAAGAACTTTTTAAAAAAGACAAATTATTTCGTGTCAGGTTAGAACAACAAATTTCCTGTTACTGGATTGAGCGCATGTAAACCACTTTCAGTGAATCAAAGGACCAAGCTATTAGCAGGTTAAGGAGAGGTGGATAGATCCTCTGGGTGTAAAAGTTAACACCAAAGTTGACTGTTCCCCATGATATTCAAAGGGGTGTTGCTGGGATCAAGATGAGGGAAGGGGGAAAGAGACAAAGAAAGATGGTGTCCTATGATTTTAACGTGAGCGCCAATAGAGGTGTTTGTTGATTAGAAGTTGAAGGTTTTATTGAGGAAATGCTGCCTGCAGCTCACCCCCCTGCTGCTTAAATAAGGGCCAGCCAAGTAATTCTTGTTACTACCACACCATCTGAAATTTATAGGAGGGCTCTAAATGAAAACCAGCCCTTGTTTCAGCTGCTGGGCATGAGCATACCCTTTACTGCTCTGAGAGGAAAGGATGAAGGAGGATGGGGGCAGGGAAAAGGTGTTTGGGAAAAGAGAGTTGAAAAGGAAACTCGGGAGTTGGAAGGGGTGAGAGCAGAATGGATGTAAGCTGGTTTCCTGTCTAAGGGCAACTGCACTGCCAGGACTTCAATCAAATAGATTGGCTCATCAAAGCATTACAGCCGAGTGACTTGGCCTGCAATCCTATGCAAACCCATTTCAGAGTCAGTCCCACTGAATTGGACATACTACTGTATCATATTGCATCAAAAGCAAACAAGAGTTGCTGCACTTTAATCCTTGCCTAGTGATAGCTGCAGACATTCCCTCATACCATTATATAAAGTGTGTGTGTGTCCACAGAACTGGCATAACACAATATATATAACACAGCAACCCAGTTCTGTGGTTCCTTAAAAATCCAGAGAGATATATAACACAACAACCCAGATATATATAACACAAAAAAATCAGATATATATAACACAACAACCCAGTTCTGTGGATCCTTAAAAACCAACAGAAACTCAATTACACCTGCTGAAACAGACAACTTATTTAGAAACTGCAACTCCATAAGGCATTCCAAGGCCAAGGAAAACAGATACTAATTTCCAACATGTTCCTCACTCTTTGAACTATTAAACAGGGAAAGGAGTGTAGTGTGCAACACTGGTCAGCAAGGTATGGATGTGCAAGGAGATAACAGTATTAAAATAACCTACGGATGTGCAAGGAGATAACAGTATTAGAATAACCTAACAACAAATCCAGGTTTTCACTAACTGACAAATTATGCCTAACTTCGCCAAATTTGGTTTTTTTTTCTTTTTCTTTTTTGTTTTGGTCAGGAATCAAACGAAATTATTTTAGGAATCTGAACTATGTTCTTGGTTTACCCAACACTGAAGATACTTCTCCATCAGGAGAAAGCTGTTGATACAGTATGCCCTTGAAACTTTCTTACACTCATCACCACCTAATGTATTTCAGACTGGATTTTAAACAAGACCAAGCAGAGCTGAGCCAGAAATTATGCTTCATTTGGTTTGGTCATAAATGCCTGATCTTAGACAATGCTGAGAGAAAGTATGACCATAATTAGCCATGTGCTTTTATAGCTGTTTGTGAGAGTGAAAAATGCTAGAAAAGCTGCTCAGAAAAATTGTAAGCCAGGCGTGTAAAGCCATCCATTTATCTTCTCTGTTTTGGTGACATTTATGAGGACTCTGAGGCAGCAGGCTAGCTTGTAAAATGAGCATCAGAGAAGCCAAAATGTGAAAGCTGAATTTTAAAACAAAAAGGTGGTGTTGAAAAACTGTTCTAAAATCCTAATGTAATATTATACCTATAAACCAACATTTTTAGGCTTCCCTTTTCTACTGAATCTTGTTGTCTCTCATTATTTTGTTTATATGGGATAGTTTGTCCAGTTTTATAAAATAACAAGTCTTCTCCTAATCAATTGCTTATTAAGATAAGCATTTAATATTTTGCAAAAACCATTATCTGCAAGAAACAAGAAGTCAGTTTAGAAGACAGGGTTCATTTATGTGTTGACTTTGTAAGCCCATCCATTTTAGGAAAGTTTTTAAAGAGGCTATATAAAAATCTCAAATCAGGGTAAACTGACACAATAATTTGTCCAAGGTTTCAACTTTAGAGATGAGCTGGACAACCCTTCAGTTTAGCATTCTGGATATCACTACTAAATACTCAATTGAGGTGGGGAGGAAAGAGTATTCAAAAGTAAGAAACTACAAAATAAAATTGTGTTTCTATAAGTAAGCTCAGTTCAGATATCTTGTCAAACCACAGTCTAGAACCCAAATCATGTTCTGAGCTTCCAAATGTCCAGGCAA